CGCCGGTCTTCTGTGAGGTCTTGGTACTTACCCGGACGAGCTTGCCCATTCGTGCAACAGCCGAGGCTCCTGTGTGGCCCTACCACAGTTATATTTCATGTAATAAACTCGTTGATAGATAAAATGACAAAAATTCTCGGCTCTTCCAATTCCAGGACTCATACATAAGCCCTTTCCTGTGCACAGATGCTCTTGACTGCGCAGGGTTTGTGAAATATAATTTTACGCTGCAACTTTTTAGGAATATTAATATTTTATAATTTTAGGAATATGAATATTATGCTGCAACTTCCGAATTTTTATATACTCAACCGACTTCGAGAAAGTGAACCAATTTTGACGACAATTTTGACGACGTGGTTTGAAAGCCGGTGCTTCCCATGTAGTTCCATATTAATTTCATTGGTTTTGGATTTTGGGGTCCGCAGATACCAAAGGATCTCCCGAAAATCAATTATAAAATGAATATTTTTCGTTAAGAAAAAATTGATTTGTATTTACACATATTTTTTTCGTAGACCGCTGCCGCTAGTATATTTAGCACCGGCCGAAAAAGATAACAAAGATTAGGCAGTTATAAAATTTAATAATGTTAAATTCGTGTTCTTCTAGAACCTAGGAAAAACATGCATGGAAAATAACCCAATTAAGTTTAAAAATTGCATTAATTAATGCTTCTTATTCGTGGCCTATCTGACACATAGGAATCCGCGAGAGGCGATTCACATCAAAGGCAGAATGGTCGCAAAATCACATGCGCTCGAGTGATCGTGTGACATTCGAATAATTTTAATATTGTTGCAGCTCCCGTCGTCTCAGTGCGAATTGAACCTTCATTACTAATGTTCGAAAGTAAAAAAAAAAACTAACAGGCTGTATATGTCCCACTGCATAATATATACAAGCAGTGTCTATATGTTTATGCCTCCGCAGTACATAGAGAATTAGGGCTCGTTAAAATTACATAACTTTTTGTAATCCCAATTATCTACAATAAAATCCAAACTAATAAAACAGGTGAAGAACTTGAAGAACGTTTAGTCATCTTCATATATGTGAAGGCACATTATGTGAATCATGTTGTCAGTTGTTTTGGCTAGGTTTTTAACTGGTCCTGAATTCGAACCTCCTTGGAAACACACAGATTCGGAAATCACACAGACAATTGTCCCTTGTGGGAATCGAAACCATGACGCTTAAGCCAAATTGAATTTAAGAATAAAGAAAAAAGAAAAAAAAAAGAAAAGAAAAGCTTTTTGCTATCTGTAGCAAAAAACGCTAGTAGTTCAAGTAGTATTAATTGTACATACATATTTCAATAAGAACGCCTTTAATAAATGCGTAACATTCTGTTGACAATGCCACAGAAGTGCTGTTATATCGTATTTAATAACATCCGGATTGACCTGTGTAATAACACACCGTTTATTGGTTCTAATAAGTACCTTACACTGTTCAATTCCAATTTATCACTACACCGTTGTGTTCGAAACGTTTAGCCGATTTACGCATGTAATGTTGGTAACATTATGTAACAACAAATATGTTCATATCAGTCATATGTTCTACTATTTCACGCACGTAGTTTTTTTAATCTGAAAATTTGGCTGGTCTTCTGTCTTCTGTCTTCTTATACTCGAGCAACCTGAGTTCGATCCCCGGTGCCGGCACCAATGAAATTGTTAATTTTAAGTATCGAATTATCACGTCCTCAGCGGTGAAGGAAAACATCTTGAGGAAACCCACATATTTTCGAAATAATAACAAAAAAAATATTTCGAAGATATTTCGTGGACTATGCCCTGATACCTTTTGTATAGAGGAGATCTTTGCCCAGCAGTGGGACATGTATAGGCTGAAATGGTACTTTACTTTCCTTCCCCGGAAGAGTTCGAGAAACGTACCCACTACAAGTAGTAGTACTATGTCAAAACAAAACGGATGTCAATACTACTAAAAATAAAAATATTTTAAATATTAAATTCATGCATATATGCAATAGACTCTATTTAGCGTCCAGTATCGGAAAACCTAAATAATATATTTAATATGGACTTTTCTGGGTGTACTCCGCGTGCCTTTGTCCATATAACTGTATTAATTAAAGCAATCAAGAAAAAATGCATAACGTATCACAGTTTATAGAATAAATAAGATACTACTGTGACCAATTAAAATGATAAAACTAAAACAAATGAATAAAATAAATATAATAGAAAATGAATAAGTCATGAAATATGCATTTTTTGACATTTCCTTTTTTCTTCCAAAAGTTCAATGATCGTTTATGTATTCATTTTATATTATTAATATAAAGTTATTAATTCAATTTAGTGTGGAAGGAGGTTATCAGGTTCTGTTGCCCGACGGGCTCGTAGGGGGAAGTACCGCGATCTCAAAGAACTTGTCGAGATTGATATCCGACAATTCTATTAAACATTCAAAAGATTTACCCCGCAAGTGCGTGTGAATAGTTCGACATTTATATTATTTGATTCGTGTTGTTAGCTGATTATATATTCAGTTTTGCTTTGGCACGCGGCCAAATATTGAATTAGGAACTAGGAAGCAGAATAACAATGCAGTGCCTAGGTGACGGCCTTGCTTATATGATACGTAGATGATTACTAACAATATTTTTTGTTTATCTTCTCGAAATAGCTCCGTCTGATATTAGGTAGTAGATAAAAACCAATTGACGGCACTTAATGTGGCGGTTAATGATGATTTAGTTGGAACGTAAGTGTATGTAAGAAATAGGCATCTATATTTTTATATACTTCGTTAGTTGTTCTTAACCACGATTTGTTAAGATAGATATTTTCTCCGTCATCATAAAAAATACATAAAACTAAAATAATATATAGATATAGTATTTTGACACCAACACATCATGAACAATAATAAGTAAACAAATGATCGTAACAATTCTTCCAAGCCATTCGCATAGCACCAAACAACTTAATAAATAATTATGTACGCATTTATTATGTTGTACTGAGAAACCAATCACCTTAAGCCCGTTCAGCAAGTGGCATAAACAATGGAATAAACACAATGCTTACTTATCCACTAATGTTATAGGAATAATAAATTCCTTTGTTTGGATATAATGAATAATTCTTAACAGTTTCCGAAATTATTCTAAACTAGTGACCCGCCCCGGCTTCGCATGGGTGCAATGCTCAATGTTTGTTTTCGACATCGCATTAGAAACCTCTAAAATTATCAGTGTTACTCTACTATATTATGCATGAATTATACATATAAACTTTCCTCTTGAATCACTATCTATTAAAACCGGATTAAAATCCGTTGCGTAGTTTTGAAGATCTAAGTAGGGACAGACAGACAGCGGAACGACTTTGTTTTATACTATGTTGTAATAATACAATGATATTTAATCGCGTATATTTAATTTTAGCAAGATTTTTAGGCGTACTAGGCCGTAGCTGTTTACGATACATCCATGTTTTTCTCGTCAGAGCGAAGAGCGTCATCCAAAAGTCGTAATCTATAAACGACGTGAAAGCCTTGAGAAAGATAAAAATATAATACTAAAAATATAATAAAGCGTTCAAATAATTATTTGAACAACTTGTTTGGGCTCTTTTTGTTAATGATTAAACCTAAATTACCTACTTAATTTGTAATGCATCTCATGAATATGTACAATCGTATTCACCTTTTTACTTTGAATAAAGTATTATAATGTATTATCTTATTTTTGGAAAAATTGCCTAGTTTTTCTGCGTACTGGTCGTATATAAATCTGTATATATAAAAATGAATTGCTGTTTGTTAGTCTCGCTAAAACTCGAGAACAGCTGGACTGATTTGGCTAATTTTGGTTCTGAAAGATTTGTTGCAGTCAAGGTTTAAACCGTGAGAAATTATGGAAAAATTGCATGGAAATTCGAAATAGCAACAATTTTATTTTCCCATGCAAACTGTTCTTAGCTGTCAAACATTTTATGCGTGCGTTCAGAAAATTCTTTTTCTATGTGTTCAGATTCTCAAATTCCATGGAAATAATTTATATGGCTAAACAACGTTTGCCGGGCCAGGTAGTTATGTCATAAAAAAGAGCCATCAGATGATTCCGAACGAAAATACTTCAATTAGTCTAGGGAAGAAATGAGGATAATCTGCTTTAATTCTATTGGCCTTTATACGTCTGGTATTGGCCAAGATTTCCTTCAGAATTCCTCCTAAGAACCTACTCCCTCTTCATATATTTATTTCATTTTTCAATATGTCGATTTTTTTAAAACTCTATTTAAAAATGAAGAGGAATGAGGAAAGTTAATTAGCAACTTTGCAATAATAATTTACTTCCACATTGAATTGTTCCAGTCGTCTTTGGCGAAACGACGAAGGACATGTCTTGCTTTTAAGCGCTATTGGCTACATGTTTTCTTTTTGAACATAAATTTATAACAATAACAAGTTTACCTTTACTACCCGTATGTCTTCACATGACTAATAATTATAATGGCAATAATAAAAATAGCGAAATACTTTATGAATAATGGAAACAACTCGTTAATATATATCTTATTCTTTTTATTTTATCACGAGGCGCTTGTTTCGCTTCTGCTTCAAAAACAACATTCGTGATTTAATTCTTTTTATACATTACTTTTTAATTGAAACTACTTTTAAGCATTTTATCTTGTTGAAGCAACTCGTTCCGTCATTATTTATTGGTTGGTTTCGAGGCTTTATGGGTGCCTAGATGGAATGGCAACCTAAGAAAATGCGCGGGAAGTCGATGCAGGTGACTCAAGATCCTGCTTCAAGACAAGCCGTGGGAGAGGCTTATGTTTGCTAAGGACAAGTATTTGTATACAATGTAATTTGTATATAATACAAATACTTGTCCTATCTCACCCACGATCTGCGGCGATCCGAAGCCTATAACCGAGACATCAAAGTCAAAGTATCTATATACGTGTTTTTCTTACTTTACTAAACAGGGATTAATTATTGGATTACAGGACTGACGAACAGGGCATAGCCATGAAGGTGTACCAGGGCATCCTGCTGGCTCTCGAGTTATTCATCCTTGCGATAAAAATGAACATCACGTGGACTCTGTCCATTTACCAGTTCTTCTTTCCACCGGAGCCAAAGAGCGTTAAGGGGGAGGTTATTCTTGTAAGTATACCTTTAACTCTAATGTTTCAGTTGCTTGTTTTGATTTATTCTATGAGTTATATTCCATCCAGGCTTCCGCAGCAGCAATTGCAATTTTAAAATTAAGACTACCTCGGTTAGACTAGGAAAAAAATAATTAAAAATTTTAAGAGTAATGGCGACATCTCTCGTTACAAATATTCATCGTTGAATGTTATTTGTAAGGTGTTGTATGCTGTTATATGAATATATAAATGTTATATGTTATATTTATATAACTATACGTCTACATGTATCCATGTAGCACAATAATCGTATTTATTATAATATTTTTGTATGTATAATTGTACGTATTTATGCATTTGTTATATTTACACCTACTTTTTAATCTATGCTTCTCCCAATCGGTTGACTAATAGAGAATATCCCGGGCATTAAGCTCGTCTATACAGAAGATTTGCGAAAAAGTTAAAATAAATTGGTACTTGTTTCAAAAACATAATGTCCGAGGAGATCCGTGATGACGTGAAAACATCTATAGGCCAACTGACAATGATGACTCCGTAGTGCAGTTGCCAAGGTATTTGCTTCCGCTGCGGCCGTGGGTTCGATTCGCACACATGAAAACTATTTGTGTGACCCACCGACACGTGTTTCAAATCTGGATGTTTACCCAATTGTTTTAAATTAATATTATTATTCTTCAATCGCACAATTTCGTGAGAACAGCGTTTGTATAGCTAAAACTCGAATTTGCGACTAGCCCCACCGCTGTCATGCTTTCATATATAAATATCTCAGTGAAAGATAGAGATCTGTACCGTGTTGGAGTTAAAGAAGAGAACAGAAGTTCTATATCAAAGCAAGTGTCCGGTCTCTATCCCAAAATCGAATATTAATAAAATTTCGAATACACAACAATACACATCCATCGAGCGGCATGTATTATTTAGTTGTCAATGGTCTAGGGACACGCAACAGTGTTCGCTGTTGCATGTGAGGCAGCCGGGTCCCACTTTATTAGGAGGTGGCAACGCATCTGCAACCCTACGGGTGTTGCAAATGTCCATGGGTAGGCGTTTGTCACTTGACATCAGGTGAACCGCCACTTTCTCACTTAAAAAAAATCATTGCGATAATCAGATTTGTGTACATTAACATAGTCTGCATTACATTTACATGACTTAAGTGCTTCAAGTTGTTGGTGTTTGTAGTAATGATGTCTTTCGTTCAGATCACGGGCGCGGGCCACGGCATGGGCCGGGAGATGGCAATGCGCTTCGGGCGGCTGGGGGGCGTGATACTGTGCGTCGACATCAACCCAGCTGGCAACCAGAAAACGGTGGAACTGGTGAAAGAGGAGAACGGAAAAGCGCACGCCTATCAGTAAGTGTCATTTAACCTTGTAACGTTAAGTGGTGACTTTGCTAGATGAAGCCAGTGGACGGGAAGTTGCAGTCGCCATCCGTGATCAGCAGTTCATATCCCATTTCCGCAATGGCGGATTTGTAGTCTTGGCCGCCCTAGGCCCAAGCGCATGTGATAAGTTCCAGCCGACCCTTTCTCCCCATCATATATCTTGCTATCATCAGTGATTTTTTTGTCACTATTGGCCGCCCCTAATATGTGGTCGCCTAGGCCCGGGCTTATTGGGCCTTAGGGCAAATTGGCCACTGCATTATCGGGATTATATTATCTTTATTATATTGATTTATAGAGAATAGAATAGAAAAATATTTATTGATCGTACACAACTTTGACATCAAGACGTTAAACAACTCACGCCCGGTTTCTGAAACACCGATCATCGTAGAAGTTAACTAATCAGCTGTCAAATGAATTTGTTCAATTTGATTTTGTTCTTTTCAAATGTTTTTTAAGTTGCCAATGTCATAGTCGACCATGCTATAACATCATCTGTACAGAGGAGGCGTTTGGCCCCAATTGGACATATATATAGGCTGTTATTTTACTTTAATGCCTTTATTGCGTAAACTATATCGGTTATACGCTTAACACCTGATCAAAGGTATTTTAATGCAAACAATTCATGCGTTTCTCGTTGGCTGTTATATTTGCCTACATCAATCAAGCAAACATTTTCTTAAGTAGGTACCGCATGTACATCTAACGATTTGTTTGCCCGAATGATTTTCGTCTCCGCCATTCTCGCCTAATACGTTATCACAAACACATGCTAATTGCCTCAAGGTTATACAGCGACCTAACATTTCGCGCCGTGACTAATGTGCCACCATTTTTATTAACGAGAAAAACAATATAAAATGTGACATAAACACATAATTTAGATAACAAAATCTGACATGATCTATCTCTGTCGATTTATAACACAGATGCTTGGTAGATACCTATGGTAGAATTATAACACTTCACAAAACGCAATTACACTGTTGCCAAGTCAAAATCTTCGCCCGAGATCTGTCCATCGGATGGTGCCAGTTGATTAAGTTGAAGACTGAAAGCGTGGCTATCATCGCCACTATACCAGAGGTTTTGCGTGAGATTGTGAGGTTCTATGGACAACTTCACACATTGTCTTTGGAGCCACACGCGATAAACAACCCAAGGAGCGATAACGCTCTATCTGTTTTGAGCTGCGTCTGTTTCGAGAGTCATCTCAAAACGTCTACCGTCCATACCCGATGACTTCCAGTCTCCCGAACATTCAACATAAGATTTTGGATTCTGAAAAGACTTTATTATCATAGACAAAAAGCTTTGCGACAGATTATATACGGAAGACCGAGGAGTATAATCTGCCCCTATGTCGTATGGACTATGAGAAAGCCCTAGATTCTTTTGAAATTTCGCTGGTATTTCAGGCAGTTCAACGGTGCCAAATTGACTATCGGTACATCGAGCTGAGGTGTTTGTATAATGATGTCCGTCAGGGTACAGTCCGGGTAAATCTATCCAACTGCACAAGACTGTAAGACAGGGTAATGTCATACCCCCGAAATTCTTCATCGCTGCATTGGAAGATGTTTTCAAACTTCATGATTGGTAAGGACGTGGTATTAATTTCAATGGCGAATACATCACCCCACCTTCGATAACCGATGTAGTCATCATGGCAGAATCGCTGGAGAATCTACTATACTGAATAACCTCAGCAGTGTCTCCCATAATCATATCCCAGCCCTTAAGATGAACATGGACAAGACGAAGATCATGTCTAATGTCCATGTCACTCTTATACCGCTTGTTGTTGATTGAGCACTGTGGTCGAAGTTCTTGACGAGTATGTTTACCTAAGACAGTATGGTTAGGTAAGTCCAACTTCGACACAGAGGTCAATCATTAAACCCAAATCAGACGGGAAGCGTTCGGAACACCTTTTCATCGATTATCTCTCGAAAGTTTGCAAGACTAAAGTCTTCAATCAATGTGTGTGGGTACAAACTATGTAAATTTCATGTGAAGAGGACATAATAACTTAATAAAAACCAAAAATGTTATCAACGAGATTCACTTAAGTCATATCGTAAGAACGCATATTGAATCATCGCAAATCTCGGTCTACATTTATATCACTTACTTGATATTGATATCACTGTTCCAAGAATTATTGCACGTCTACATAATTACAAACCATTTCATATTAAAAAGACTCGTAATGAATATGGCGGGAACACACCTTTATCTTCTCTGTTGAATGCATTTTGCTTAAATGTTTTAAAGAGGAAGGTGCTGACACATTACACAGCCCAATATTTTTTTCATTTTAAAAGTTTTTTCTTTCTTTCCTCTATTTTTTCTATTTATACATTATATAAGTTAGGTTTTTTTGTCCTAATTTTATTAATTTAAAGTTGTTTATAGTGCTAATCTCTGCACTTAAGATTTTTTCTACAAGTTCTAATTTTATTATTTTATTGTAGTGCTAGTTTTGTAGGTTACTGTTCTCCTTAAAGGAAGTCGTTTATTCGATGTTGTGTTTGCCTTTAATTTAAATGCAAAAATACAATGTTTAACTTATTTTTAAGTGCATCTCATAAGAATAACAATTGTTTCTATACATATTTAGCCGGTAAGCCTTATTAAAGAAATAAGCATCATTTAGTACACCTACCTTTGGCATTTAATTTAGGAAATATTCAAGTGTTGAAAGTTGAATGACGTAGGTTATTTACCAAGTGATTTGCATACGTCTGGTAAAGAATTTGTTGAATAAATACTCCGAGTTGGCTGTTTTAATTTTTTTAAATTCATTTTCATATTCATAGAAAACGTATTCAAAAAAAATATTACCCACCTAGGAGGGATTGGGGTAGGAGTTTTTTCATGTGACAAGTTGACAAGTGAGAAGGCGGTTCACCTGATGTTAAGTAAATACATGGACATCTGCTACACCCTAGGGTTGCAGATGCGTTGACAACCTTCTAAAAATTGGGCTCCGGCCACCTCACTCACCAGACGAAACGCGAAAGTATTATGCTTCCAGTTTACGCCGGTCTCTGTGAGGTCGTGGTTACCCGGACGAGCAAGCCCACTCGTGCAACAGACTGGTACGTGGCTATACCGCAGTTCATACTCACTGTTCCGAGAATTTTTGGTGTTTTTTAATACAGTAGAATATTTTTAATGGGAGAAGGTGGCATTGGAGGTGGTAGTCAACTGGTTTTAAGTACTTAACACTGGTCACTGCGGTAGCTCTGAAGAGGTTAGGTCGTGGTACCTTCCCAGCTGAGCGAGTATATTTAAGCAACTGCAAAAGTTGTTTTTGATTACTAAAAATTGGAATTACATGAGAGAAAATATGTATTATGATAAAAGTACTCGATTTCGAAATTCTCCTATTCGTATACTATATAACTTTCGTGTTCTGTAACAAGGTGTGACGTCACGGACCGCGACGCCATCAACGCGTTGGCGGATAAGATCCGCCGCGAGGTCGGTGACGTCACTATTCTGATAAACAACGCCGGCATCATGCCCTGCAAGCCCCTCATGGATACCAGCGAGAAGGAAATTCGGACTGTGTTCGAGGTCAACGTCCTTGCACAGCTTTGGGTGAGACTACGCATTTGTTTCTTTTTTTATTATATTAGTTTGTTGGAAAATATTTTTTTAACGTTTATATTTTTTTATGATTATTGGCAAGTAACGTTAGAATTGTGTTCATTTAATGTCGCGGTTGTAACACCACGCTGTATAATTAACTAGCCCCGGCTACGCACGGGTGCAACGTATTATAAATAGTAACCGTCCTCTTGAATCACTCTATCTAGGAAAACAAACCGCATCAAGATCCGTTGCGTAGTTTTAAAGATCTAAGCACATGTAGGGACAGACAGACAGCGGGACGACATTGTTTTATACTATACTGCAGTGAAGATAACAATACTTTCCTCGTCGTTATACTCGTTGCTGAGGGTCGTGGCCCCATAGATTACTTTATTGCGTAACACAAAACGCAACTATTTCGGTGTAGGGGATATGTGGCTTGAATTTTGTTTAGATCTGTAATTTGTAATCTGTAGTTTGTAGAAAATTTAAGAACCTTCGTCTTTCGGGATACGTGCCCGGCATTCTAGCCACTGAGTATGCTCACATGGATATGCCGTTTAGCTCAGAGGCTCCATTTGGGCGCGTATTCTGGAGGTCGCGGGCTCGTTTATTTGACATGGTTTTTCACTAACGAGCTAAAGATTACTCATATTCTTCGTACAAGTAGACAACTGTGATAGGACCACGCATCATTGTTCACTGTTGCACGAATGGGCAGGTCCTTCTGGGTAAGTACCGCGACCTCACAGCAGACCGGCGTGAAGTACACTTCTGCGTTTCGTCTTTCTCACATAAAAATACGGTTTATTTGCGGAATGTGTATTATAAATGTTCCAAGTTAAATAAGAGTTCTGGTAAGCGTTATTTGTTTCAGTAATGCTTGCTCTCAGCTATCATAGATGAGGAGTTTAGTAAAGCACTTACTTGTAATGAGTTACCCTTCCAATCCTGGAACGAAGAAATTTAAGCCTTGATACTTAGTACGCTGAGACTCCTTTGCCTTGATCCCGAACATGAGTTCCCCTGGGGCAAGGCAATTTAAACCTTGAACACTAGTACACTGCGGCTCTTTTTCCTCGATCCCGAATAGAACTGCCCTGGTGCAAGGCAATTTAAACCTTCGCCGCTAGTACGCTGCGGCTATTTTACCCCGAACCCGCCCGCGCAGCTGATCCAGGCGTTCCTGCCGCGCATGATGGAGCGCAACCACGGCCACATAGTGGCGATGTCCTCCATGGCAGGTGTGGTCGGCCTTCGCAACCTGGTTCCCTACTGCGGCACCAAGTTCGCGGTGCGCGGTCTAATGGAGGCTCTGCACGAGGAGCTCCGCGAGGACAAGCGCGACTTCAGCGGCGTGAGTCCAATACGCACACACACGCGCAAAAGTTACACACAAACACCGACATGTAGTTTATCACGCACACGCGTACATGAGAAAAGAGTTCACATATACCCACACACGCGCAACCGCTATTGCACACAAACCCCGACATGTAGTTTATCACGCACACGCGTACATGAGAAAAGAGTTCACATAAACGCACACACGTGGACGATGAACACCGACATGTAGATCGCGCACACACACACATGCGCAAACCAAAGAAGCTATGCGTACATTCATAGCCTCAAAGCGGAATTCGGTTCAAATATACGCACTCACGCGCACGTACACCAAAATATAGTGTCTCGCGCACACACGCACATGCGAAAACCAGAAGTTATGCCTAAATAAATATCCTCAAAGCGGCGAGAGTTCGCTTCACATACATGCACACATCCGCACCAACACGAACATGTAGTTTATCGGGCACACACGCAAATGCGAAAACCATAAGTTACGCGTTCATACAAAGCCCCAAAAAATGTTTTTTGTCCAATTCTCTCAGATGTGTTGTACGCTGTAAAGGATGCACACTAGATGGCGCCATGCATGTTAAGATTTTCGCGTCGTAAGGTCATCGGCCTTTTAGCTTAGTTAGTAAAGCTACTGGGCGCGAAACGGTAAGACGCAGGTTCTAAACCCCATCGCTGAAAGTTTAGTTCATTTATCTACAAAAAAATTACAATTTAGAATTCTACGATTTACTTACTATAATATAATTGTGATGCTGTGTTCGACCAGTACGATTAACTCAAAATCTCTTAAAAGAGCGATTGAAAACTTAAAGCAGTAAAACTTAATGATTCCTAGCCGACTTATTTAATAAAAACATGAACAGTCCTCCCAAACAATATTTTATAGGAAACAAATGTTGTGCAATTCGAAATATGTACTTGGCTTCAACATTTTACTGTATACGAGAAAAAGTATCAAACAAAACTACATTAAAATTGTTATTATTATTAGTCATCTCATTATAACGTTTACAAATTCATTTAGGAATCTGGTCTACATTCAGTACACCAGAGTAACTTGCGTAGGTTCTACTTAGCATTCTATGCCACGGTTCGATAAATTCCTGACATATAGATAGATAACATATAGATTACAACGGAAAAATATATAGTTAGGTATTGTGTGGACCTGACTTTACTTAGAAATAATTGAAATAAAAAAAATGAAAATCCAAAATCCAATAATGCTAATCCAGTGATTCTTTACAAAACATCCATCTTTAAATCATTCAGTTCTAGACTTTATTTACTTTAACGACCCGATTGGCTTAGTGGATAGTGGACCTGTCTCTTGCGCCAGGGGGTGGGTTCGATCCGCACTTCTGGAAAAATTTGTGTGATGGACATAGACTTTTTCCAGTGTCTAGGTGTTGCTGTCTATAATATGTATTTATTTTCAGAAGAAAATTATGTATAAGTATATTTATCAGTTAACTAGTATCCATAGTACAAGCCTTGCTTAGTTTGGACTAGATAACGTAATAAAAAAAAAAACAAAAAAAATTGTTAAGCTATTAGTAGGATTATGCTATGTGTAATCATTTCATAGTATCAACGAAAAATTTGCAATATCAACTGTGACCGGTCCGTCAGATCAAACTTACGGTCATCTGCCCCTACATCGTGGACACCGGTCTGTGCAAGAACCCCAAGATCAAGTTCCCGTCTCTGATGAAGATCGTCTCGCCGCAAGTGGCGGCGGACAGCATAGTGGACGCCGTTAGGAGGAACTATGCGGAGATAACGATACCGAGCTCCCTCTACTACATCAACCAGGTAACTATTCCTTGTGAGGATTGTTATAATCGGTTCATCATCATCATCGTCGTCGTCATCATCATGCCTGTTAGAGTCCACTGCTGAACGTGGCGTCCCCCACAGACTGCCACGAAGCACGATCCTGAGTCATCGTCTGTTTATACGTATACGGGGAGGCTTTTCTAAGTGTATCCATTTTTTTTTATTAAACTCTAGACGTAAATAATGTTATATAAAAATGATAAATATTTAAAATCACTCGTAATTCAATTAATTACATTCATTTGAACTTATCTCAAAATTTGCGTGATTTATGGCCAACTCAGTTTTACGCGCGATCATTTATAACTAACACGCACACCAGTTCGTTTCAAAAGTATACGACGCCTTTATGAATGACTGACAATGCGGATTGTCAACAAGTTCTGTTTTTTTGGGAATGGAATTGCATTTTTTTTTGAATAAAAAGTTTTTTTTTATTTCAATAAACGATTCGATGACTCCGTGGCGCAGTTGCTAAGGTATCGGCTTCGGCGTCGGGGGTCGTGGGTTCGATTCCCACACGGGACAGCTATTTGTGTGACCCACAGATAGTTGTTTCGTATCTGGGTGTTTATCCGCGTGAAATTTATGTTTGTAAAACGTCCTTACAACACAGGATAATGTTCCTAAAGTAAGGGCAAAGTTTTTGAAAAGAAAATAAATAAACGATTATACTACCGAGTCTGAAGCACCTGTGTGAATTTGGACATCTTTAGAAAAGCCACCCTGTAAATTGTCAGTTAATATATTTTGTAGAATGTTGTATGTTTATACAGCGTGTACCATCGCTACAATAAATGAACACACATATTGGGGATAACTTTTTAAAGTTGTATTAAACATTTAAATTCTTTAAACATCAATATTTACAGAGTTATTAAATTTTCCAAAACAAAGAATTTTAGAACACCCTTACCTATAAAAGCGTAACGTAAAGTTCATTTGTAAAGGTCACAAAGCATATGTATGGGAATTTAAAAGAGACAAAACATACTGTTAGAAGGAGAGGCTTGTAATACGACGCTGTGGCGCGAATTGTATAGGATGTTACAAATTTTGTTTCTTTTTTACTTAATTAGTTTGTTTGAAAAATATTTTTTTTTAATTATGGATTTTGTTTAACGTTAATATTTTTTTATGATTATTGGCAAGTAGCGTTAGACGTGTGTTCATTTATTGTCGCGATGGTAACGACACGCTGTATATACACTGTCATATTATAGTTTCAGTACATCATCATCATCAGAACCATTTCGGCCCGTTAGAGTCCCAAAGCCGCCCCAAAGCACAATCCTGAGGCACCTGCAAATAGTTGTAGTTGATGAAAATTTAACAGCAAGACTGCAATAGATCCATATGAATTCACAATAACATTTACACAAATATTTACGTGTATAAAGTTGCACCAACCTTTTTCGCTGTTGCATTGTCTTTTCACATAAATTAGCCCATATGGGTGAAGTGTCTAAGTAATTTGACGGGCCGATTGACCTAGTGTGAGCCTGCATCTTACGACAGAGGCTGTGGGTTTCATCCCTACTACTGGGAAAACAATGAGTGACCAACATAATGTTTCATGTCTGCTGGTTTATATATCTATAATATGTACTTATTTATAAAAGAAAAGTATGTTTAAGTGTGTTCACCAAGAATAGCGTCCATGGTACAAAATTCGTTAAGTTTGGGACTGAAGTGGCGATGGGCCGGCCATATAGCTCGTAGAACCGATAACCGTTGGGGAAGAAAGGTTCTCGAGTGGCAGCCTCGTACTGGCCATCGCAGTGTAGGACGACCCCACACTAGATGGAGTGACGACCTGTGCAAATGTGCGGGAAGTCGATGGATGCAGGTGGCTCAGGATCGTGCTTCGTGGCAGTCTATGGGGGAGGCCTATGTTCAGCGGTGGACTCAAACAGGCTGAAATGATGATGATGATGATGGGACTAGATATCGTTGTATAAAAATATTTATTAATTTAATTTTATTATCAACGAATAAGAAATGTTAATATATTTTGTTTTGTTACAGATCTGCCGGGCCATGCCGCGCAAAGTGCCCTTGCATCTGAAAGACTTCTTAGACTCTGGTCTGGAGGCTCAGTAGTGTATCGATCTGTAAATTAAGAACTCATGTGGCCTAACGGTGTAGGAATTAAGTTCATCGTCTCAGGTTACTTGTATGTCTACGGTACGTTGAGTGTATGCACGTTCTGTCTAATTGAATCGTTTTAAAACCCACGAAAGTACATAGAACAGGTAAAGAGTTGTTCCCCATGGCCAATGAGCCTTGTCTATGCTAAGGTGATATGGTGCTAATATGGTCAAATGTGTAGTAGTTATTACAATATTACGTATTGGTCAGGGCAAATCGCTACGGTGTAAATACTATGTAACTCTAAAGATGTACAGAAAAGGAAGCAAACTTCGCTTTAAATTGGTAATAATCGATAAGAATAAAATGATTTTTTTTTTAATGTTTCCATCAATTTAATATTCTCTAAAAAAATATTTAAACCACTTATCATTAGGTCTTAAACTATAAAATCGATTATCAGAAATTAGATTAAAAGTTGGTTCGGAACGAGCGAAGTTGTGGAAAAAAAAGTTTTTACATAAACAAGTAAATTGATATTTTCCAGCATTAATTCATCGCTATTTTTAGTTTTGTAGGGTAATATATTTCGTTTTTATGCAGTTTACACTACTAAGGTTAAATGTCCTTTTTGTAGTGTAATAGCAAGATGGCGTAAGTATACTTGACAGATATAAAAGTAATTAATTAGTAAGTAAACAAACCGCTTGAATTAAACGAGAGGATTTAATGATAATTATAATGTTCTTAAAGTATATGGAAAACATTTTCTCACTTAATATGCAAGTCATTTTTCTAGTCTCACGTTTTTCTGATGTTCTCTAACTTAACCGCGAAAGACATTTAATTAACTCAAAAGCTCTTTACTATTTAGCAAAATGTATAACATAAATGCCATCCAAATAAGATCTCAAGGTACTCTATTTTCTATCTATCTTAAAAGATTTTTATAACAGAAAACAATACTGGCTTCAAATACGTTTCTTGTTTGATTTTGAGGAATTCTCAGCCGTATCTCTGTAGTCCAAGCTTTGATGCCAGTATAATTAATATGGGACCACGTGGTAGCTAAATCGAATCCATTGCACAACGATGTTTTAAATGGGATTCTGTTATTGATTTACTTCTCATTATTCTACAAACAAATTGCATCCTTTTTTGAAGTAGTTCAAAACTTACGTGATCGTTCAGAAATCTTGTAAAAGTTAGATATTTTTTTTTGCGCTATTTTCATGTTTTTTCATCTTTATGTATTATTAAAAGGCAATATTTTTAGTATAGAATGATATTATATTTCTATAACATTTTTGTATACCTGTTTGATTCACAAGAAAAAAAATGGCTTTTGCTTCTCTACTCATTATTTATATAAATATCGTGAACTCGTTAAGTGGATCGTTGAACATAACGTGTTACAGTTTAATTTTCAAATACAGCTATATTTAGTATGGTAATGTGGTGGTGATATAGGAAATAAATAAGTAATTAAACTAATGTTCGATAGTGGGAAAAGAAAGGACATTGCAATGTATTAGTTATAAGATTTAAGTGTAAAAATATGTCCTAGTATTGGAGGTTACTTCCATTAAAATTGGGAGTGAGTTAAATCGAGTACCTGTTACGCCTGTTCCTGTTCCTAAAAGTAACAGTGAGAAATACCTGTTATAAATTACCAGCCTTTTATTTCATACTATGTTGTGAAATTGTCACTGTTACCATAGAGTAACAAACTGTAACAGCTGTTATGGCATATTACTCTATACGTACTTCTCTTTCTAAAACGCTATAATATCGATGCAAGAAAAATAAATAGCTTGTGACAGTGACAGTGTTCAGTAACAACTGTGACAAGGTGTAACATGTGTTCGTATATGTGTTTTTATCTCTTTCTAACTAACTTAACAGTCATAAGAGCATGAATAAAGGAAAGCCTGTGGCAGCGTGTTAAGGAGCAATTTGTGTTGAATGGGATCTGTTATTTAAGTTTGTTGGTAACAGATACAGTTGTTATGTCGAGATACCTATTTACCCGTTACAATAAATAGGCCTCACTTCTAACTAAAACTAAAAAGTTTAGGATTTTAACGAATGGGTAGAAAACATATTTAATTTATCGATTTTCAAGCCATCGAGTGCGATATGAATGAGTCTTCTATAGCATTAGTCTTCGCCTCATTTTTAAGTGGTATAGAACAATATTTAGAAATCGCAAGGGGCATTAGCTTATACTACTCTTTAGAAAGAACCAAAGAAGTATTTGCTGTATATGTGTAATATGCATTAAGTTGTTCGTACAAGGAACATACAACAGTTCTGAAATGTTCTGGATCATATAATAACAGTGCTCAATTAGTGCAAACTTCCCATAAGGGGTAAGAAAAATAATTTAAACTATTTGATCTATTATCAGAAGGTATTGTATTGATTTGAAAAAATACCTTTGATAGTTCATATTCTTTTCTTGTTTAGTTTTGGCTAGTGATGTTAACACAAAAATGGCGGGATGATCAGATTTTGCACAAAGTTTTAACACAGACTATACAAATTATTATTGTATATATTCTATATTTTTTGAAATTTTATACAAGTAGTTCCTTTATTATAAAATTGTTAAACATTACATATTTTTTGTCTTACCATAAAAAGAATTAAGATACAGGAATATATAATACAAAATGAACTTTTATATAAATATGTCAATATAGTGTGCCATTCATGACATTTATAACAAATATGTATCATTATAATAATCTCAGATTATTAACTAATGTTCCCTTGTATGATGTACGGTGATGTTAATAGGTTAAGGTTGTGAATTGATTTACACCTTTATGATTAAGAGAGAAATAAAGATTTTTAGATGTGTAACAGCTTTGTTTGATTTTAGATTTTATTGCTAATCGGTCCTTAACTAAGTTTACTTTCTATTTCTTATCAAACAAAAATGCATATAATATTTTCAGAACAATGTTGATAAAGTCCGCAATTTCATTAGGAGAATAATCGAGAACTGTTTGTCGAACACATTTTATCTGAACAAAAAGAAGTTATAAAATGCTTCTTCATGTTAACTTTAAATTCTTTTCCGTACAAGATTACTAACTCCCATAATTATTTTTCTTTGTTCTCCATAATTATTTTTCATTATTTTTCTTTGCACTTTTTGACCACATATAAATCAATAAAACTGTCACAATTATCTCTGAAGGAAATACGTAAATTCTGACGTCCCTTTTAATTATACAAACTTTTTGTTTTTATACTGTTTTATTATGGCTATACAATTTTTATTTGAAATATATATTTTATTACAAGCTATAACACATTTCACAAGTTCTATACGCTTCTTACATCCTCCATATCGACATCTCATTTAAATTATCAATTTATTCTCTACCACAATACATTGTTTTAATTTCACTAATTTTCCAGAGAGACGAAAAGTAGACTAGATAATTAATTTAAGTAAGAAAAAAAAATCACATGTGTGAACAAAAATAAGAATTCAATGAACATAAAGAAAATAATTCAAAATTATTGTCATTAAAAGTACATGAAGAATTAATTATATTAGATAAAGCTTCTTTACATTAATACATTTTAAAATGTCTTTAATTAAAAAAATAATTACAAATTTTCATAAAGGTATCTTTAACCTTATACATCGAGATCCTATTCTTTCCATATATCGCAAAATTGTAATTTTATCTTTCAACTAATTTAGCCATTGTACTTTTTTTGTTCCTATTTTAAAACGTCTTAAAAATTAGTTAGATGATGGATGATATTTGAGCGAAACATAATAATAATATAATACTTATAAATGATTTTATAAAGTACTAGCTGATCCGGCAAACGTTGTTTTGTGGAATTTCGTAAAATCTGTTCTTAGCTGACCTCTACTCGGCGAAAGGAATATTCCAACCAAATTTCAAGTCTCTACGCCTTATGGTTCTAGAGATATCGTGATGAGTCAATTATCAGTGGAAATTTCTTATGTATACAGGGTGGCTTTTCTAAAGGTGCCCACATTCACACAGGAGGTTCAAACTCGGTAGTATAATTGTTTACTGAAATAAAAACAAACTTTCTATTCCCTAAAAAACAGAACTTTTCTCAATGCGGTAGTCATTCTATATGCGTCGTATATATTTGAAACTAACTTGTGTGCGTGTTAGTTATGAATGATTGCCCATTAATCACGCACTTTTTGGGTAAGTTAAAATGAATGTAATTACGAGTGATTTTAAATATTTATCATTTTTATATAACATTATTTATGTATAGAATTTAATTGAAAAAAATGGATACACTTAAAAAAGCCTCCCTCTATATATAGATAGATTTGCTAGCATTACTTACCATATCGGAGAACTCACTTCTTTATGATATTACATACGGGGACGAATTAAAAGCTTCTGCTATCCTTATTTTGTTACTTCATTCTATGTTTAGATGCCTGAATAAGTTTCGTAATTTTTATGCCAATCAGCTATAAAAAAATGCGTCAAAAAATACAATCGTGAACAACTTTAATAAGATTTGTGCATTCAATTATTTATTTATCCAATAAAAGAGCGGTCTCCGAAAGATTTAAACTGTGACATGTGTGCTTTCTAATTTAATTTTGGTTTTATATTTCGTGTGAATAACTTGCCATCGGTTGTTAGAAATGGCGTTATGGTCGCGATATAACTATAAACTTTGCAAGTTATTTCGTACTAGTAGAAAACAAGGCGAATGTTTTAATAAGATACGGTTAACCGTGTAGCAGTACCGTTAGCAGTTAGCCTTCCTTATGCTAATAACGTGAATAGTACTTGCCTTGCTTTTTCTAGACGAACGTGGAACACTAGCAAGCAACTAAATTATTGAAGTTCACGACACTTCTTTTGGTGCGTTCGGAAAAAAATTATGAGAATAAAATTTTTACGATGCGTACGCACGCCGACATTTAAAAGGGACATGATGAAATTGGTTGAAAAGCAACCTACTTCACGGTATTACCTTAGCAACCGATAACAACTTTCTGACATTTACCTATAATTCCAAGTTATTTAATAAAACCGTTATCATTTACTTTTAATGTATTTTTCATAAACATACGCTAAAGAAGTATAGCTTCTTTCGTACGTACATAAATATACACCTAGTTTTGTTATAATATTCAGTCCGTAGACTGTGAAAGCTTCATTTAACGCAGAACGCGTGGGCTACAACAACCCGCGAAAATAATGTAGTCCTACCCGCTTGGGTAGAGCCGCGCATGTGCTCATGCGTGCGTTATTTAAGACCAGACACACCGATGGAAACTTGAAGGGCCTTCAATTACCTTTTGCACCAGCAGAAAGCTGAGAAAGTATAAATACTTCTAGTGCGCCAACGTTCTGCGTCTTTCCTACATGTTTTAATGTCAATTGATAAATTAACACATTGTAAATACGATTTAAATTAAATATTTAGGTGATAGGGCCACGCAACAGTGTTCGCTGTTGCAAGAATCGGCAGGTCCGACCGGGTTAGTACCACGACCTCACAGAAGACCGGCGTGAAGTCGTAGTGTTGCACTTCTGCGTTTCGTCTGGTGAGTGAGGTAGCTGGGGCCCACTTTATTAAGCGGTGGCAACGCATCTGCAACCCTACGGGTGTTACAAATGTCCATGGGCAGGCGGCTAGCACTTAACATCAGGTGAACCGCCGGCTCGTTTGCCACTAGCTTTCATGAAAAAAACACGCACCTATATATTCTGTTTAAGTCGAATTTAGACGAGCATTATAGAACTCCACACCGCGCTACCTATTAAAGTACCGTATTTGTACTCCTTTTTCTAGATTTGTTAAAGCCATTTGTTATTTATTAGATAATTATCATTTTTTAAGTTGAAATAGTCGTATTATTCAAATATTTTGTATGTCCTGGGTTATTGTTAATTCGTTATTAAAATATTCATAAGAAATGCACATCAAAAAGGCTACAAAAATAGAAATTGAACAAATTAACTGGATTATAACATTATATTATATACATAATATATATTTATAAGTACGAAAACAACAGAATTAGAGGTCGTGGAAAACGTCTTCATTTCATTCTTTCAGTATAGCTTCTCTATAAAGAATTCTGCAAATGTCAAGTCGATGTGGCAAATGTCACATATAGGTATAATATTTATAAATAACATTATCTACTGCAACTTTTACTACATACAATTTGACATAGGATATGAGAACGAAATAGCTTTAAAAACCCCACTACACATTCAATAACTAAAGAACGAGGTATAAATTTAGACTAATAATCTAACAGGTTCTGGAAGCGTAATATTTAGAACGTGGCTGAACATTAAATCATATTTTCTTTTTAAATTCCTTCAACACAATCTAGTAGGTCTCTGAGAAATTCAGAGATTATTTTTAATTTTAATTCCCGACGTTTCGAACCCTTTACAATTACCCTGTAATTAAAAATAAACGCGATAAATCCGTAAAATTAGTTTCATTTATAATGTCTGAAATTATACATGACAAGATTTGAAGGCAGTATAGTAAATTGTTTGGCATTGAGACAGTAAAGAAGAAACGTGTATGGACAGTTTACTTCGGTACACTACGCTACTTATGTTTGGATTTAACTCTCAAGATTGTTTAAGAGATATCTCCCAAAATATTCCGCCATTTACTTCAATAGCACGGGCTACTTCCATGTGATTTTGACCTCACTCAACATTTATTTATACTTATTTGCCAATTGTTGTTACGTTATTAGTGTTATTACGTTGCGAAGCTGCTATGAAAATTTGCTTAACCACGATTCAGTTAAAATATGTCAACGTCTTTCAAATGTTGATAGTTGCGATCCCAGTAGCCACCATTGTACAGCCAATCCTCTTGTTTGGTGTAAGGATTTGTGCCTTGACTGAACCACCTGGAAATATTGGAATTTTATTTTCATTTTTTTGATATTAATATTATATATCAACTCTTAACAAATTTAAAGATCAAATCTTTACCAAGTTATCTAAAACAAGTGGCAAAAGATAAAGCGGTTCATCAAAAAGTAAATAATTTTCGCTCACGACATTTCTCAACATCAGAAACAAAAGTCATCTAACACGCCTGCAGCTCTGTCTATTTATTCCCTCGTTTTTTAATTTAAGCAAAATTGTCTTTCACTTTCAAGTACTTTCACTTAAAGTTCGCCTTCTCTTGCAACATGTTTTTACTCTTACAATATCCTTTCTTGTTTTTTATGGAGTTATGTCTTTTTTATCATTACACCTTATTTTTTCATGATACATTCTGAGAAATGACTCAAGAAATCATGTAAAATTTCGAGGTCTTCATGCTATTTTTTGTCGAGAAACAGATTATTTCATTTTTTTCTTTCTGTGGTTTCCAGTGTTTAGTAAATATTCATCAATATATATTATGAGAAATATTTATTAATTGAATTGAAATTAATAAATATTACTCTACTCATACTCAATTCTAGTATTCTACACCATACAATAGGTAGGGCCACGCAGCAGCCTCGGCTGTTGCACGAATGGGCAGGCCCGTCCAGGTAAGTACCACGACCTCACAGAAGACCGGCGTAAAGTGAAAGTATGACAAATACTTTCGCGTTTCGTCTGGTGAGGGAGGTAGCCGGAGCCCAATTTTCAAAAGGTTGTCAACGCCTCTGTAACCCTCGGGTGTGGCAGATGTCCATGGGTGGCGGTATTCACTTAACATCAGGTGAACCGTCTGCTCGTTTGACAACTTTTCGCAAAAAAAAAAAAAAAAACAATATTAACAACTACAGGTAGCATGGCTCAACGTTAGACAGGCCATCCTTGTAGCCACGGAGTAGACCATTAAATGAGATGGTAGTGATCATTACTCATTTTCATTGGATTGCAATATGCTTAGGCACTGTTGAGAGGGAGGAGAGCTTTCCAAGTGATGTCCCGTATATCGAATTCCCCAACCATCGCATAGATTTTGGTTTCAAATAGAAGCTGAACCCCTTCTCTTCCCATTCTCTTCCCAGTTTTATTATCTTTAGAAGTACCCCTCTCAAAATAAACAGGCATACCACAGCAGCCAGTCATTTTTGTTCTTGCCGAAGCTTCATCCATACATACAACCCTACCCCTACATAAACAGGAAGAATTACAGTACCTCGGCTGCCAGCCGTCGGCGCTCTTTTTCAGTAGTTTCCTGGCAGTTCGCTGCTTCTCCTCAAGGCGGGTCTTCTCAGCGGCCGCGGCGTCGATGTCGCCCTGTTCCAGCAAACGGACGTCCGGCCGGAGACGGCTGTCCGTCGGGCACAGCTGGCTCTTCATGTCAGGTTCGAGTTCGTTCAGCGACATAGCGAACTCGGTGAACTGGTAGTACTGGAATGGGATTGTCAAACACTGCAAAGTTTCGTGCCAGCTTGGTGTTTCACGGTTCCCTAATCAAAGGGTAAAACGGGACCCTATTACTAAGACTACGCTGTCTGTCTGTCATCAGGCTGTATCACATGAACTGTGCTATTTAGACATTTTAAAATTTCACAGGTGTATTTCTGTTGCCACTATAACAACAAATACTAAGAAACAGAATTAAACATTTTAGTGGGGCTTCCATACAACAGACACGATTTTTGCCGATTTTATCTAATGAGTTTTATTTGCTTAATCAATACATACGTGTGTACGGTAAGATTATTACGCTAGGTTTCAGTGTATGTATGTACCTTGATGTCATAAGTTACTTAAAGCATGTTGCTTACATTATAGCTGCGGGTGTGTATTTCTGTTTATGAATGGAATAAAATTAAATCATGCTTTTATCAAGTGATATGTTATTGTAGAGCAGTGGATGTAGCAATGAAAAATAAGTCGCTCGTAAATGATTTAATGACTTGCTAATTTTCATGTTGCACTTAAGCCGTTGGAGTTGTAAGTGACGAGGCAGAAATTGGGTGTCTCTGGGGGCACCGATCTATGCGGAAGTGGCGTTTGGTGTTGCCGTAACAGTTATTTTATGTGATAAATAGGCAATCGAACAGGCGGTTGACCTAATGTTAAGTATACGTGGGCATTTGCAACAACTGATAGGTTGCAGATGCTTTGCCAACCATTTATAAGATGGCCCGGTTAACTCACCAGAGCCAGTGGAAGTGCCAGTTCATATCGATCTTCTTCGAGTCTGTAGTACTTTCCTGGAAAAGCCTGCACAGTTGTGCAACAGCAAAACATATTGTTTACATTATGGCGATAAAATTACTCTGATACCGTCACCAAGGTCTTCAGTTCGGAGAGTTGATTGGAGTCTAGTTTTATAAGTTACCAGCGGACGACACAGACGTCCTGTACACGCGACTTAAATTCGACAGCTTAGAAATAAAAAAAAAATGTAGTGGATCGTATTGTGAATCTAAACCATTCTCGACCCTACCTGAAGACACACAATTTTTTTTGTTAAAGTCGGTCCAGCCGTTTAGAGGGAGTTCAGTGACATACACACGTACAGTAGAATTATATATATAAAAATATTGTCTGTTACCTGCGCACTGTTGCTCGGCCGCGGCCTCGCCTCCCACAGCGTGGTCGAGCCGGGAATGTCGATGTTGTAAGACTCATCAGGCTTTGGCACATCCTCGGAATTTTCAGCTTCGTCCGTCTGTATATTGAGGACATTCATTGCTTATTCAGTATCCGGGCACTCGCTTTTAATTCTTCATACCTGAGCAACCCGAAGCCAGCGCCAGCGTCAATGAAATTGGTAATTTTAAACGCTAACTTACTTACTGCGTGCTCAGCGGTGAAGGAAAACATCGTGAAATAAACATCAGTTCAAAGATATGTCAATTCTGAGGATCCGCAGTGGGGTCATATGGTGGAATATGCTCTAAAACCGTAGTACGATTGCTTATTAAATTGGATGAATATGATAAATTCCAAAATAACGAAATGGAGAACTTTATCTGAAAGCCCTTGTGACTTATACGAAAGCATTGTCGCATACTTACGTCCTGTATGGACATGGAGCGCAGGGCGCCGACCTTGAAGCTGTTGAGCTTGGCGAGCACCTTCTTGGGCGTGTGGGCGGGCGTCTGGTGGGCGGCGGAGGAGTCTTCGCCCCGGCTGCGCGCCCACTGCTCGTGGGCGGACGCGCTGCAGCAGCGGATGTACTCCGTCCACTTCCCGTACAAGAAGCGCAGCTTCTTCTTGCTGTTGTCAACGGTTTACGATTGTTACGATTGTTATGGTTAATTGCGATTTGCGATTGTTATATTCTTTTTAAGGGTTCCGTACCCGAAGCGTAAAACGGGACCCTATTGCTGAGACTCGGCGGTGTGTCCGTCTGTTCATAGTTCATGAGGCACTTATGAGGTTCACCAGGCAGTATGCCTGGTTACAGGCGGTTAAAATTTTTGCAGATGATTTATTTCTGTTACCGCTATGACAACAAATACTTAATAAAAAACAGAATAAAAAAAAATTTAAGTGGAGCTCTCATACAACAGCCATGATTTTTTTGGCCGTTTTTATAGATAATGGTACGGAACCCATCGTGCGGAGTCCGACTCGCCGTTGGCCGATTTTTTAAAATTAACTGTCACTCAATATTTGATCCATTCAAAATTTGCACGCATACTCGTATGGATAACCGATGATAATACTTTAATTTCATTAATATGACCTAATAGATAGCCAGCGAACTTTAAGCTCCTAAACGATGTTTATTATATGACGCAGTTAATTCATGTTTGTCAGAAAGTACAGCTTACTTTTGCTGTGCCTACCGCATGTAATAACTTTAAGCCTAATGGCCTCTATGTGTGGGTAGATTAAGGTAAAATATTGTGGTTCGCCGTACATTGTGGTTGCATGCGATCTGAGATCCACGGATATAATTGATGTGAGTAATTAGGAGCGAAAAACATGCAAACACTGTAAGCACTAACAAAATAGGCGGCTTTATTTGCTACCACAATTAGCATTGTTCGACTTTCATAGGTCATTGCTCCGAGTACCTGTATGCATATAACACTGAGCGGAAAATGCCTACTTCGTATAAAGGGCACGCAGGTCAATTTAATTTGCGTAATGTGTATTTTCTCAGTTACAATTTGGCTAAGAGTTCTGGTAAGCCATCAACGAATTTCCTTATCTCGTAGATGAGGATTTCGGCAAAGTAGAGCTCACTGTAGTGAACTGCCCATTCATGCAACAGTCTTCGCTGTTGCATGAATGGGCAGATCTGTCCGGTGAAATACTATAACCTCGCAGAAGACCGGCGTTAAGTGGAAGTGTTATCTACTTCTGCATTTCGTTTTGCGAGCGAAGTTAGCGGAGCCCACTTTATTGAAAGTTGGCAACGCATCTGCTACGGCGGCGGTCACCTCTCAACATCGGGTGAGCCGCCAGCTCGCCTGCCACCTCCTCACGTGAGAAGATCGCTTGCAACCTCCTCACGTGAGAAGATCGCTTTCAACCTCCTCACGTGAGAAGAAGCTCACTTTGCGTCCGTAATGAAGCCGTCGACCCTGTGTAGGTCGCGGTTGTTGAAGCCGGCCGGCTTGAACACGAGGCTGGCGGTGAGGCCGGCGCCGCCGTGGCAGGTCACCTCCATCGCGCCGTACTGCTCGATCCACAGTTTGCCGACGATCACGTTGTGCACGCAGCAGTTCACGTTGCTCCAGGTGTACGCCTCGCCCCACCTGCGGGCGGGGGCCGTGTAAACGATTGCGGTCTTTGTGGTGCCAACCAGGGTCCACAAAGACCCCATGGCGACCTTTTTCCATGTATACGCCAGACCCACTTCAATGTACGTTATATGATGTGCAACGAACTAACATACAAACAATTAGGCGAGTAGTAATTAATAGTGTGAATCTTTTGAATTGTATGACATTGATGTTGTTATTTTAAAAAAGTGAGGTATAATATGACGATGAATATATATATAACACATTTCTCACAATTAACAGATGGTATAACATAAATATATTCTTATTAATTAGGTAAGAAATCTATCAAATTACATAACAAGTCAACCTTTAAGGAGTTTAATGTCAAAAAAGTGTATATTACATAACTTCTTCTTTCTTCGTCTTCTTTATCCCAACTTGGTGGAGTCCCCATAAAATGTGAATCAATTTTTAATGGCATTAGCTAGGATTTTTACGACTGCCCGAATGCTTCAAATGCTAAAATACAATGTAGATCAAAGTCATTAAGATTGTCTTCGGTGTGGCAATCAGCCGTTTAGCTTAGTGGCTAAAGCGTCAAGGCGCGAAACCCGAAGACGTAGTTTCGATTCCCACAGCGGCGACTTTTCTTTAACTTTTCGTAAATTTTAATGCCTGAATATCGTTAACCCTCCTGGGGTATAATACATAACATCTATTCAATAAAAACACTAATAGGTTCGTCTACAACTTTTCACACGAACCGACCTTGGCAGCTCGACTGTTACGTGCCCCTTGGGTTGTATCTCGACGCTCTTCCCGCAAAACTTGAGCTTCGGATGCACGGAACCATGGAAGACGAAGTGAGGACTGTCGGCGTGGAAGGCGGACACCGGCGGATGATGGGAGACCTTGGGAAAATCAGAAGAGTATTGGTTAGATTCATACAACGTGGACTGCAAAACTGTAACCATTTATAGGGCTAAGTATATTTATTAAGAAGCGTTAGACGGCTTTATGTCGTAATCGAGATGATGTCTGAGAGACTCATATAATTAGTGATCCGTTCAAGATTAATTTCTTGTTGATGCAACATTTCAGTTAGACTTGGAGGATTTATAAATGAGGATACGGAAATATGTAAATAATGTAAGAATCCATTCGAACTAACTCCGTAAATATCGCTGAGAAGGTTCGATCAAAAATTGACCACACAAACATCAGTTGATATTGCATAAGGTTATTTAAGTGCTCGGCAAACGTATCTTTGCACAAACCGGTCTGAAATATGCATTCAACTTAACTTTTTTATTCCAAAGGTATAGCAAAAGATTAAGTCATTCACATGAGGACTTTGAAGTCAGGGCTGCGATCCATGTTGAAGGATGAAGAAACCTGCATGTTTTCGAAATAATAATCACTCACACTCGTTGTTGTTGACCTACCTGTGCAGCAGGAGTTATTACGTACCTAAGCTATTATTGCTCACCACAGATCTACATGTCCACATGCTGCTCTAAAATTCCTGCTTCACCCACCTGTTCACAAACCGCTCTGAACTCGGGCCGCTCGAGTTCATAAGTCTCGCCGAGTAATGGATTGAATGGCTTGCCAAGGCGCTCCCAGTTGGACGCCAGAGCGCTCACGGCGAAAGCTGTTACGGAAGCAATTTACGGGATCAGTTAACTGGCGATGAGATTGCTGATTGCATTTACTCTATGATTTACAGGCCAACGGCTAAAACGCGCTGAAGTTGCCTCTTTAATGTTTGTTTCTGGCAAGATTTACAAATTTGGAAATTTGGAAACCACGCATTCAGATATAATTTTTTATGTTCAGCATTAATATATGTCAACCTAGATCACAAGTTAGACAGGCTCTGTAATTTTAAGAAAAGCAGATGCTGTTTGGGAGACTGGATACACTAACATTTTGAAATCAGCACCTTAATATCTATTCCACACATGCTAATTTTATCTTAAAAAAAAAAAACAACATCAATTATAACCTCAAAGATCTGCTCCGGTGCGAAACCTTAATATGTAGGTAATAAGTAGTTAGTGGTCTACAAATTGTGACTTTCACTTAAGTGCAGATATTAGCACAAAAATTAAGAAGTATATCGCTCTGTGTTCATTTTATAATTGATTTTAAGAGTTCCCTAAGGAAATTAATATGGAACCACATGGGAAACACCAGCTTCCAAATAAAAAAACAATCATCAAAATCGGTTCACTCAATAGAAAGTTCTGAAGTGACAAACATAAAAAAATCACAGTCGAATTGAGAACCTCCTCCTTTTGAAGTCGTTTAGTTAAATAAGAATGAAGTAGAGGATATCTTTTAAACCACAAGGGTGCAAAAATTAAACAAGAATGAAGTAGAGGCTATGTTTTCAACCGACAAGGGTGCGGAGAAACCCCTCACCGGCGATGTACTCCATCCTGGAGACGGGGTCGCTCTGCTCGGAGGCCATCCGCAGCAGGTGCGCGTACTCCAGATACTCCAGCATCCGCTGCAGGAAGGACAGCGGCTCGTTGAAGACCACCGGCATCGTGATTTTGGAGAGCTCCTTGCCCACGCAGTTCTTCAGCACCGACCACAGGGAGAAGTCGCCGCGGCTGAACTGTGCCACTGGAAGCGATGTTCTGCAACGAGGATCGCTTGGCGTGAAACGGGATGAAGTAGCTTTATCGACCGTCTTCGAAAAATATCTTAATTCACTCAATTTTGTTGTATTATTATGCCTAACTGTAGTAGGCACGCAGCAGCCTCGGCTGTTGCACGAATGGGCAGGCTCGTTCGGGTAAGTGAGATAGCCGGAGCCCAATTTTCAAAAGGTTGTCAACGCATCTGTAAGCCTCAGGTTTAGCAGATGTCTATGGGCGGCGGTATTCACTTAACATCAGGTGAACCGCCTGCTCGCTTGTCAACTTTTCACATAAAAAAAATCTTTGTTACCTCATAACTCCGTAATTTTTTGTCGATTTAGAAAATTATTTTTGCATTAGAATTGATTTTGCTCCCATTTAGTCCCGTTATGTAATGTTCTTACCACTGTTTTGAACACAATATAGTGGTATAATAAAAATATATATAACATAATAAAAAAATCGTGACAAGTCGCGGATATCTCGCGTCGGTGAAACAGCTAAAAATCAAATCTCTACTTCAAGTCTAGGAGAATATGTGGAAAAAGTTGATCACAAAAAAAATGTTAAACTTTCAGCATGTTCCGATAGCTGAAGATTGATTAGTCAAACAAGTCGATGTCAGTTAGTCTCGTATAACGCATTTAGTGAATGGGTCAAGGAAATTGGTGTTCATGGACGTCGCTCCAGCAACTGACTTACTCTGATTGATTGGAAACTACTTCCCAACATTAAACACGATCTATTTTTGATCTTTAATCTATTTAGATGATGGTGACATATTTTAGACTATTGCTTTACACATATTCCTGTATTATAACTTAGCATGCGATAATCATAATAATATTATTTGGCAAACGGATGCGGTATAGTTGCTAACATGAGATTAAAACCCAATGCAGCGTTGGTTTTAAGGCTTTTTTCTGAGGTTGGATTCCTTCTTTCTGATATTATGCGGGAATTTGGTGATTAACAACTTCCCCATCACCATTGAATATTCTGATTCACCAGATGTATAAGGTTAACAATAGAAAATTATATATATTTTTCGCTCACATTACATTTCTTCCGACACCAAGAAGAGATTCAGATGCTTGTTCATTAAAAATGACGGAATGACTCAACAAACAAACCAAACAAAACTGCAAATGACGAGATACACAGCACCAAGCTCAGACACAATTTTATAGTCCAGTTAAGCAAAAAAAGGGGTCAAACACGGAATGAGAGATTAAACATAAGCTTAAAAATAAGTAAATGAACTAATAAGTGTAAGAAAACAAAATAAGTCTGTGAATTCGAGCTAATTACCAATTAATCAGATTATCCATAAATTTCACTTTCATCATTATCTTATTTCTTTAGCTTTGCACTCGTAATTCCATTTTGATTATTTAATATTGAAAAAGATTTTATTACAATGAAAGCAAGAAAGGATACGTGCGTCATAAAGTATTAAAAAGAAAATGGTCAAAGTTTTGAACGAATAAAAGTTTCGCGTATTTATGAATGATTTAAAGCCGTCATCCATTATATTCCTACGAAGCTTGGAGGTTTTTAATGTAGTGATTGATGGGATGAATTAACAGTCTTAAAAACTTACAATGTCTCCAGTAAATTTATTATGTCAAATATTTCAAATCAATAGACTGTTGTTAAACGTTGATTTATTACTGTTTTGTATATAGAATCAGTCATTAACGAACTAACTAAATGTTCAACGTTATCTTCAATAATCCTGTTTTAGAAAAAGTATAAAGCCTACATGTTACTTAACGCAATATTAATCAAAATCTTTTATTTTGCGAAGATAATGGCAACACGGCAAGTGGTGCATTCCACGTTAACACCAGGGATATTACAAAAGTGCTTCCAACCACTGAGATGTGAGATCCAAATTACTCACCAGACGAACCGTAAAAGTGTGAAAATATTAAATAAAACTGATACTTATAATTATATTCGTAAATAGACAAACGCAGTGCCAAAGTATAGATAATAGACGCAGAGGGGAAATCTCAAAAATGAACAATCATATCGCGTGGACCCGGGAATCGAACTTTGACCTTGAACGACCTTTATGGACCGCTGTATGCAGGGCCTGGGAGGAGTACAAGGGAGCGTTCAAGGTCGCTGCCATCCCGATCAATACTGAGCCGCACCGGCACGGTTTCGGCATCTAAATATCGAGAGGGAGTATTATGTTGCGAATGAGAAATAATTCGCCTTATGGAGTTTACCATAAAACCTTTGGAAACCCAGTCACGTATCGTCATCTGATTAAATTGTTATCGTTCATTGAAAGAAAATGGGTATATTTTCTCATATACTGAAGGGGACACAGTACCAATTTCAATTAGAGGGGTATTGCTATAATACTCTGCAAACATATTTTTTATAACATTCAATTTAAAGTGAAATATTGTGTGTGTGTATGAGGTATACAAAGAGGGAAAGAGAGGGAGTAAAATCTAGCAAGCCTTTTACAAACTTGTCCATTCAATCAAAAATTTACGATGAATAAAATATTAATTTTAGAGTAGTCACTTCGCGCATTGAAAAATTTCTGTCGTTTAAGTCTTTTTATAAGAATGTTCTGGAATCTAATGCAATTAAGAGACGCGTATCTACCTCAACCCATCTCCATTTTGTTTTGCACTTTTACACAAACTTCTATAATTCCCACTGAACCAGAGATCCTTATGGTAAACGCGGTTCAGGTGAACAGCGTTTACCATAAGGAACTAACGCGTTTAAGACAATTTTTTTTAATTATCCTCTTTTTCTCTCTAGCACAAATAGAAACACAGCATGTCGACTCTACCCTAGTTATATTGTATTCACTGAAAGTAAAGCATTAGGTTACATATCCCTTTATAATTCTTAGCCATTATTACTTTATACTTTTTGTGTAGTTTGAGTTATCACCAAAGATCATAAAACGATACTGATCGACGATCAATTAGAGGTTTACAACAGCGCCAGAAGGAAGTGTGGATTGACTTTATGTGGTCGTAATGTTTATGCGTTGAACGTTAAAATGGTTTGATGTGCGTTTCAATGTCAGAGCGTATCGTTTCCGTGTACTTTATGTTATGATGATGTTGTACACATCATCTGTTAATGAACAAGTGATGAAAACAATACGCAGCTATCTAGTATCTTTTACAATCTGAAATCAACCATCAGCCCAAGTGATTTCGAGTTTGTATAACGGATATGAACAATCTTATTCAATTGATATAGAATTAAAGCATTACGATTTAAAACATATTTTAATATTTAAGGTTATAAAACAAATTTCTCCAAAACTATCATGCAAAATCGAAGCGAGCCTAAACTATACGAGAGTTAGCTTTAAATGCCTTTCCAGCACAAAAAACGCTGATAGTTACAAGCTGACAAACACCTGTGTTAAAACACTATTTTGTGGACAATCCCAGCTTTTTGTAAGATAATTATCTTGCGGCAACTCATGGAGGTGGTGTGAGCGCCTGTTGCCCATACTATTGGACTGTTTTCGTCCTTTAGGTATCAACGGATTACAAGCTAATACAAGTTAAATCCACTTTAGCGCCTGCTAAGTCGGCGCGCGGCCTCGTGAGGAACGCCTTAAGAAACAAAGAACTGAAAAAAAAATCCTTCGCCCGTCTTTCTGTTCAAATGCGAAAATCAAATAGTAGTATCTTCTAAATAACATAATGTAATACACGCTTTTATTGAGCTAGAGCGTTTCGCACCAGCATTCATATGCGTCACCACTTACCTTAAGGTACATCAGGCACTCAAGCACTGTTCACTTCATCATAAAATCTATTTAGGTATATCTCACAACTATGATGGATAATATGGTATATATGTTCTTATTATCTTTTTTATTAATGTCGTGTTATAAAGCACGTACGGTCGTGTTACTACATGTGGAACATGTGTTAAGACTGATTACACTGGACTACGTGCAGTGGTTGTTCAAACATAGCTATCGATCGACCGCTTTGTGGGAAGCTCGGCAAAATAATTTCCTACGCTTGCATACGAGCATACTGTAGAGCTTTTCATCGTATAACATTTTGCAGAGATTTTTATGTATTAAATATTTCCTTGAAATGGGTGGTATATTATTTATACAGAATGTGAAATGATACATCAATTTAAAAGTGTTTTACGTTTTCAGTTACATATATAACGTCACCGTAAATGCATTTGAAGTTTTCAACAAAGCCCTCTGCTCAAAACGTACAAACATCAAAAATCTTCGACAACATAGGAATAGTTTAAAAAAGTGGTCCTGTTATAATGTTCTCTACATTGTAGATTTGATTTAAAAATAAGTTACGTAAAAACCTACTGAATTTTTTTTTTCAAATAACAAATTACATTTTCCGGACGGAAAACGATTCAGAGAGAACCGCGCCATTATCCTCGAGAATGTTCAAAGCAAAAAGGGACAAGGCCGTCTATGAGGCTGCTTCAAAAGTTATTTGCCTTGACCTACTTAAGCATAATCCCGCTGACTGACAACATTATAACGAACTTATGTCATACTGCAGTTTATTTAAATTTCTAACAGCGACGTGTGGTAAATATTATTCTTTTATATTTTTTGTTTAAAAGTAAAGTATCAGCCTATACATGTCCCACTGCTGGGCAAAGGCCTCCTCTGTACAGAGGGTATCAGGGCATAGTCCACCACGCGGCCCCACTGCGGATTGGTGGACTTCACATATCTTCGAAATATTTTTCTTTGTTATTATTTCGAAAATATGCAGGTTTCCTCACGATGTTTTCCTTCACCGCTGAGCACGTGATAATTCAGCACTTAAAATTGACAATTTCATTGGTGCCGGCACCGGGGATCGAACTCAGGTTGCTCGAGTATATTGAATTAAAGGCGAGCGCCCGGACACTATGTCTAGGACACTATTTTTTGTTTAAATTATAAAAAACGTATTCAACGGACACTATTTTTTGTTTAAATTATAAAAAACGTATTCAATATGGATAAACTGCTACATTTTATAATCGTTTTTCGCTCATTTTTAACAAGGATCTTTTAAGGTATAGGATACACTTTTAAGGATCTTCCGCAAAACGGGTACAGAAAACACTGAACACGATTACTGGCGGTCAGGCACTGGACTGGCTATATATAACACAAGCGCTATCGACAAATCGATAGCATGTTTTGGGTTCATCCAGGCTACCGTAAAAAGGATTAAAAGCATTAGGGAGTCGAAGAGGAGTGGTTATAAAATAAACTTTTATTGAACTTCTATCAATGTCTTATGTACATACATACCTCTAATATATTCTTCTATTTTTATGTGAGATGGTGGTAAAAGAGCTGGCGGTCCAGCCCGGCTACCTCACTCACCAATCGAAACGCAGAACTGTAACACTTTCATTTTACGCCGGTCTCTGTGAAGTCGTTGTACTACCCTGAACAGACCCGTGCATTCGCGCAACAGTAAAGACTGTGCGTGGCCCTGCCACATGAAAAATCTTTTATTTAAAAATATGCCTTATTTATACAATAATAACACACAGCAATGACTCCATCGTTGTCAAGGACTGGCTTCGGCGTCGGGGGTCTTGGGTTCAATTCCCACACGGGACAACTATTTGTGTGACCGAAAGATAGTTAACGCATCTGGGTGTTTGTCCACGTGAAATTTGTGTTTGTAAAACAATGTATAGGGCAATGTTTAAAAAAATATTAAAACACATATTCCTAACAAATCTCACCATTACCGCCTTCTAACCATAAAAAGAAGTAATCTGTAACGCGGGGATTTTACATATTATCCATTGCTAACTATAGCTCCCACCTAGAATTATAGTTTTTGCGAAAATGGGGTCACCCGCCTGGGGAATAGCCCCATTCGCAAGTAATGTCAGGGTTTAATGGAGTCGTATTACTGCAGTGTTTTCATATTGTGACTCACAACGTTCAATACATTTACCACAAACACATTTGACTTTACTACTTCTCTAACTCAATTAATACACTCCTTTCATTATTGTTATGAAACTATCGAAATGTTGTGTTATAAAATATTTCATGTTAGAGATACCGTTATATACAGCTTTTCTGGTGTTGTTTTCTTATGCTAATTGCTGTATGTTGCTTAAAGATATTTTAATTAAAAAGTTGACCATGTTGTAAGCGACTGAAGAATGTTCGTAGTTCTAACCAAAACTCTTTCAAAATACAAACAAATCTTGGAAGAAATAAATTCTTATATGAATCACATTTGCCTTTCATAAAATAAATACAAATGCAAAATAATTAAAGTCTGTTTCCTACTAAATAAAAGACTATTTTAATATAACACAATCTGTTACGTTGATTCCTTGCTTGTAGAAAAGTTTTATTTCTAACTAGCCGGGCTAAAATAACAATGCCTATTAACTTGTGAAGGACAATAAAAAGAGAAACAATAACGGACTGCATAAATGATAAAGAAGCCTCAATAAAGCATAATAATTCGTAACAAGACACATTATATAAAATTAATCGTGACGTTCTGCTTTTATCACATGCAATCCCATTTCAATCTATTGAAACGACTCCACGTTTTTTTTTTTTTATATGGAACTGACTAGCGCTTGACTGCCATCCCACCTGATGGTAAGTGGCGATGCAGCCGCGGATGGTAAGCGCGCTAGCTCAGTAAAAGCCTATTCACTCTTGCCTTGAAGACGCCTACGTTATAATCGGATGGGAAGACCGACGCCGGCAGGTTGTTCCATTCCTTAGCCGTACGGATGATAAATGACGATGCGAATCTCTTTGTTCTTGTGCGTGGAACGTCGACAGCAAAAGGGTGAAGCCCCGCCGAACGTCTAGTTGTCCGATGATGGAAAGGGGCGGGAGGAATCAAATGGTGCAGCTCCAACGCACACTCTCCAAAATGCATCCTGTAGAAAACCGAAAGGCTGGTTACTCTGCGCCTGTGCTCAAGGCTGGTGAGATTGGTTTTAACCAAATCACGGTCACCAATGAGCCTTTCCGCACGCCTCTCCATTGAGTCAAGGGCAGCCAGGTGGCATTTTGCAGCGCCAGCCCAGATATGGCAACAGTACTCCACACACGACCGGACTTGAGCTTTGTAAAGAGTAAGGAGCTGTCCCGGTGAGAAGTACCGTCGCACCTTTGCAAGGATGCCTAACTTCCTTGCAGCTGCCCTGGCTTTAGACTCAATGACCCACCCATAGTTGAGGTTTGAGGATATTTCGACTCCCAACAACTGAAGGCGGTCGGTATACTCCAAGGACACATTCTGGAAAGTAGGAGCCAAGGTGAAGGGGCTCCTTTTTGAGGAAAAAAGACACGCCTGCGTTTTGGAAGCGTTGAATCTCACAAGATTGGCATCGCCCCATTCAGAGACCGCCTGTTGTGTAAGATTCAGACGCTCTACCATGGCCTCTCTTTCGGACTGGATGTGATCTCTACTGACCCTAAGACTCGGTTGGTATCTTTCCACAACTGTGCTGTCATCAGCGTACCCATATATACCGGGCATGAGCAGATCGTTGATGTGCAGCAAGAAAAGAGTTGCGGAAAGGACGGACCCCTGAGGAACTCCGGCATTAGTTGTCAGAGGCTCGGATGAACAGCCTTCGATGACTACTCGGAGAGACCGTTGACTCAGAAAGTCCTTCACCCAACCGATTAGGCCAGGAGATATGCCGTACGCTGGAAGCTTGCTGAGGAGGCTGGCGTGCCAGACCCTGTCAAAGGCCTTAGAGATATCTAGTGAAACCGCAAGTGCTTCACCATTGTTCTCTAAGGCCTCGCCCCAAAGATGAGTGGCGTACACTAGAAGGTCCCCAGTCGACCGATTTCGGCGAAATCCGTAGTGGCAGTCGCTGAGAAGGTCGTTGTGTTCTAGGTATGCCTTGAGGCGGGCGTTCAATATACGCTCCATAGAGATTGGTCTGTAATTGGCTGGATCGGCACGACTACCCTTTTTTGGAATAGGCTGGACATTCGCTAGCTTCCAGGACTTAGGGACTATTCCAGTCTCAAAAGAAAGGCGAAACAGACGTGTCAGAACAGGAGACAACTCGGGTGCACACGCCTTTAGAACTAACACTGGTATACCGTCTGGTCCACTAGCTTTATTCACATCTAGACTCCTTAACGCTTTTAGGACCTCGCGATTTTTTATTCGTACCTCCGTCATGGCGGTTTTACCACCACGTAAGAGATTCATATGGATATCCGAACAAACAGTAATTGTAATGTATATTACTGTATATTTCTATATATTAATGTGTTGCTAAAATAATTTGTTATTGAATAAACTTAATATAATACAAATTACTTACTAAAAAACAAACAAAAGATCACAAAAGTGCTATCACTTGTAGTATAGTATTCAGATAAAATTATTAGATAACTTTAGTGCTAGAATACGATAACATTAAGCAACAAAAACTCTATAACTAAGCGTAAGAAATCACAATATCTCTATAGTTTGAATAACAATACATTTATCAATTATATAACAACGAAAACTCATTGAAGATGAAACATAATTACGTAACCGAACGAGTACATGAAGGCAAAGGTGACTAACCTATTCCCCTATTTACTTAAATAAAGTCGTAATTATTTCATTCTATTAACATTATATACATTAAAGGTTACATTATATGTATCAAAGGATGACCATCCGATAAGAAAGAGTCTAGAGAAACTCATAAAAACCGACCTCTGTAGAGACAAGGGAACAAAAATAAATCACCCGCCTTCGGTGCCGGATCAATACTGTATACCCTGCGAAGCGCTACTCTGGAAATGATCACTAAGAAAATATTAACAACTGGACAATGGTCAATGTATAAATAAAATGAAATCGATGACGATATAGCTGTATACTGCAAATTTAGTTCTAATTTAAATGTGAGTTTAGTAGATAAATTGTGGAAAATTTCTTTAACTTTACTGCGGGATTCGATCCCGCGTCTACTAAGCAAGGTACCTTGCCATACCTATAATATGAAATAACTTTTTGGTAGATATTGCTAACGCATTCGCTAAAAGACCTCATCGCATTTAGTGTAAATAGCAGGGAATTTAAGGCTTTATAAAACATGTTACAGGTGCCGATGGGTATTATTTTGTTCGATTTTCACCTATTATGTTACCTGTTAGTTTTTTTATTCATCAAAGGCACCTATTTTTTACTAAAAATCGAAATATTACAGAGCTCGATAGAAAAATATTGTATAGTGTTGATATTTTTACATCGCAACTATTGAAGCATTTGCAATGAAATGAGAAGTATTGGAAGAAATTGTAAAACTTAACGCGTGGGCTATATGATTTACACTAGGTATTTAGTTTAGTTAAATACATAGGGTATTTTTCGTTGATCGACTTATTTACTAGAACCATTAAGGCGAAGCATGGGGTAAAAGCTGTTAGTAATGCGATACTGTTTTGTTTTTAATCACTGACCTGTATTTGTACACAACATTATCTTCCATCTTACAACAAGCACCTCCCACGCAGCCTCTCTCCTCCGCTGCTATACACTTTACACTTCAAAATTGTCTATCACAATGTTTCAAAATTAATCACGGTAGTTCTCCAAATGTTCTCGCCTCATACAGTTCGCTTGTGCACTATTTAATATCCATTGTCACTAAAAGGGTTGCAAATTAATGAATAATTATAGTGAAATAAATAATATACAACACAAAAAACTAATCAAGTTTAATTAACAAAAAGAAAACGCTCAACTTATAAAGAGATTAGAGATTTGCACCGTTTTTGCTAGACATGATCTCTATAAAATCAGTTAAATCAATCAACAACCTTTACTTATCTGAAAATGGGTAAAAATAATAAAAATAATAATGGTCAAATAAAAATCCTAAGTTTTATCAATTTTACACAAATTGGGCCACTGCTACTACGGAAAGATGAAAATTAGTTCATCTTTAAAAACAGACTTCATTTTCAGAGCTAAACAAGGCACTGTGAATTGATTCGAGAAAAGTATTTCCGGTCTGTGGTTCCACAAAGGTCATTAAAGCTGTTCTGAGGGGGAAAATCAGTTGCAAACTGCCAACAGGTTGGCTGGGTTTCTGGCGTATTGCCAAGCTTTGCAGACGGGTCGATACCTGGCCGTGTTTGACAAACAACAGCAAAACAATCTATTGAGGCTGTTATGGACAAAGCTTGTATTTGTCGACTTCACTTTTATGGGGCGATCGATAGAGTTATATGAGAGCATTGTTCAGTATAAAACAGCTGTTGTTACAGACAATAAATGACAATTTTCGTAACATTTAACGAGTGACTAGGCAAAAATAAAATTTAAGTTCAATTCCAGTCAAAAAATGTCCTTCTCCGTAGCAGTCGTAGCAATCCGTAGAGGTTACTATCTACGGCTCCGTAGAATTCAGGGATAATAATTTAGACAGATACGATATTTCGTAGCCCTGAACTTTACTTTAACTTGCTTTTTCAATCGGTAAATAATTGTAAAATCCATTTAACTATCATTGTTAAGTCATGCGTTAAGATTAAAGACTTTACTGAAAAACGATCGCGTACCATTTCTCAATAAACCAATTACGACTAATTACTTTTTGGGAACCTTCGTCGGGCTTCACCGTTAAAATTAATTATAGTCTAAAAAGGTTTTTCATTAATTACCGAGCCCCTTTTCTGATAATGAGCTTTCGTCAACGTCTAAAATTTTCAGTTGGGGACAGAGAAGAAAAAAATTTTTTAGATATAAAATTATTGAACGCTAAATTGCGATTAAAGAGGTGGACACATAACAAAAGAATTTTTATATAAAAAATTATTATTAAGAAAATATTTCAACAACAGTCATATGGACTGCATATTTTTTTTGATGATTAACCATTTTTGTATTCAGTACCATTCGTGTGATTGTCAAGAAATTTAGTATCTAGCAATATGTACGAATCGACTTAACTAATACACAATTCAGGTTCATTGTAAGATTTATGTTATAAGTCTATTCGTGAGTGTCATATTGCTTTTATGATTTTTGACTTATCGACTGTCATACCAGCACTGTGTCCATTTTGTATCAAGATTCTATATATAATTCAGTATCTAAACGAACGCTATGATTGATATCGATTATCTTGTAAAGGTTTACAACTTCGTTTAAAGAGTTTTTTTTTTTGATAAAAATAGATAATTACAGCGAAAAATAGACATTAATAAAAAAAAATCTTATCCCATTTTGATAAAAGTAGACGTTTACAGGTACGTATACAAGTTATCCTTACTAAAATTATAAACGCGAAAGTTTGTATGTAGGGATGGATGTTTGTTACTCTTTCACGCAAATACTACTGAATGGATTTTAATGAAACTTTACAATAATATAGCTCATACATCAGAATAAGACGTAGGCTATAATTTATATACATATTTTTATGTATATCTGTCTTTCTGTCTGAATGTTACGCCTTCAGCTTATTCTACGCAGACGTAGTCGCGGGAAGCAGCTAGTAAACTATAGAGTAGAAACTGCGCAAAAAATATCTCAAGGGCAGGCAATACTTTTCAGGTTTCACAAACATTAGACAGTTTTACCTGCATTTGGAAAAGCGCCAATAAAGAACGTGTCATGAACGTCGGAATATAAGAAGCTTTCGATTCAAAATTTGAAAAAGACTCAAACTAAACTAAGATGATGATGATGAAATGATGAAATAACCCTTTTAACTTATTACTTTTTCTTGGATAATGGAAACATGGACATGGGATAGGAAATGTAATATATTCGCAAACACCCCGCATTTGTATTAAATTCATCGAAAAAATGTGAATGAACTAACAATAAATCACTTATAAATCCTTTTTACCCCAAGAGATGTTTATCCCAAGATAAGTTTCAAGTGTATTTATTGATTTATTTAAAACGAATAAGGAACTTTGCTTATGCGTCTTGGTTTCAAAAAAATTTTCTTTGACCTCCATTTACATAACTTAAGCACTTTAATCTTGGAGACGTCTGGAAACGTCCCTTCTCTTTCTGAATCGAACTATCCTCGCTGTTCTACACTGTCGACATTCTATTTTTTTTTTTTTTCAAGAATACTTTCTTTTTGAGTTTTTAGATGCTCTTCAAAAGCATTTTTATATCATTAAAATATTCAAGTTATTTAATTTATGCTATATTTAATAAAGCTAATCAATAAACAAAAGACTGATTTTGTAAAAAGAATTTGATGTTTTTAAAATAAAATTAATTTTAATTTAGAAGTCAGAGACAATCAACAGTTTTTTTTGTTCGAAATTGCCAGTACTGAAGAACGGTAATTTCATAGGTAAAGACCTAATATCATAAGATTAATGCTGGAGTGAGTTATAAGACACTGAGGATATCAAAGAACCGGCATCTAAAGCACACAATCTCACTGTTGTATAACACCTATTGTTTTGTCACAAGTTTTATTTGATGGACATTACGTTATAAGGTATATATTATGTTCCAATTCGTTTATTGGCAGTTCCCGAATGTTCGAAGGGATAGCCATCCAGTATACCTTCAAATAAGAAACTTCGTAATAAATCAAAAGTATAGTCTATGGATTTGTATCTAGTTAAGCGATAGGTGTTAGATTATATCAAATAAGCCTAAACTGAACACAGCTCCATGCAAAGGTACACGATTCCTTTAACGCATTATTATGGAGAAGGAAGCATTTCCCTTTTACATAACTTTTACTCTATCTTTTACGATTACTATTACATGTTAATTATTGTGGAGTTAAAGAGATAGGATCTAAAATGAAAAATGTATCATCTTTAACTGTAAGAACATTTCTATAATCTTTTGCTTTAAACAAGAATTGGAAAATTATGCCAGAATTCGAACAATAACTAATTATCTTATATGTTGTTGTATAACTTATCAACAAAATATTAGATCAATATATTCTATCGGTCAGTACATCAACATATTAACGAACACGAACAAACACTTATATTATGTACATAATATAAAAATACCACTTAGGCTTATAACGGTGGTAGGGCCACGCAGCAGCCTCGGCTGTTGCACGAATGGGCAGGCCCGTCCGGGTAAGTACCACGACCTCACAGAAGACCGGCGTAAAGTGGAAGTATGACAAATACTTTCGAGTTTCGTCTGCTGAGTGAGGTGACCGGAGCCCAATTTTCAAAAGGTTGTCAACGCATCTGTAACCCTCGGGTGTAGCAGATGTCTATGGGCGGCGGTATTCTTCACTTAACATCAGGTGAACCGTCTGCTCGTTTGACAACTTTTCACATAAAAAAAAAAAAACCACTTAGGCTTGGTAAGTACTAAACAATTACAGTTCATTATAATAATGTAGAATTTATAATATCTTAGAAAGTTTTCTCAATACCACGATAAAATGGTATGGGGTGGTCGGATTGGATCTTATATAAGGCAACTGGAGGGTCTTGATGAACAGGGGGAATAAGACATATTATTGCCCCATACCATTTTATTGTGGTACTGAGGTATTACCGAGAATTGAACCTAAAAAAAACAATAATCTAACAAAAATTGTAGAATTATATATATTGTAACAGATATTTGTCAAAATTTTATTAATAATTAATAGTAGAACTAAAGATTAAATAAGGAATTGCTTCTTTGCGATATTTTTCAATTTTTTTCGTACGGTTAACGAACGAACTGTTTTTACTTGCACCTTATTGCTTTTATTACTTTTTTTTATTTACTTTTTTCAGCGCAGAGGAACCAGGGAGTTTAACTAAAGTATATCAATAAATATATAGCGCAAAATATAGTTTTATATGTTCGTTTAATTCATTTTTCTTGCATGTCTAATAGTTTTCGCAATAGTAGAAATGTTTGATTATGTTTCAATTGTTTCAAAGTTTTACATTTGTTTTCTTTACCGTTGTTAAAATAAAGTAGTATATGACTTTTGTAATTTCTAAAATAAATATGAGATTTTGAAATTGATCTGAACCATTGCTTTTCTGATTTATTTCTTGCAACTAGTAAGCAGAATAACCACTAAAAGCATCGTTAGCCTCTCTAGGTTTCGAGCTCGCTAAACTTGTGGGGAGACCTTTAATTATATCTCACACACAGCGCACGTCTCAGTTACCTATTCATACATGCTATACATCGTTTTATCTGACCTTATTCCTATAAAACAAAAAAAAACTTATAAGCACACAATAATAAGCTGTTACGAGAAAAATATTAAAAGGGTATCAACGGTGCCCGTGAATCAAGCGAACTGAAATGGATTACGTAACCGGAATGACCACTCACGATTTTGTGTGTCATATGTGAATGTTCAATGTACTCCGCGACGTCTACGCGCGACAGGCGATGCGACGTAACTGACTGCTATTCGAGCGAGCCAGTAGACAGGGTGACGCCGTCCCACCCTTCCAACCTACCCAACCTACACCACTCCGTCCCCACGCGACCCCAACCTACCTAAAGCTGACGCCCAAAATG